TTGACTAGAATGCAAAAAAAAAATTATGAACAAAAATTTGTAATAAATACACTACCAATAGCAATAGTGCTTTCTCCTCTGAGATTTAATCCAACCAAGCCAGACCTCTATTCAATTCATTTCAGTAAACTTCATACATAGCATACACTCAATATATATGTTGACTGGAGAAATGAATGAATGAATGATATCAGAGATGAACATTATGATAATTTTTTTAAAGATTTATTTATTTATTTACACAAGCACTGGGTACAGTCAGAAGCGCGGGAGGGTGAGAGAATTCACCAGAGCGGGGAGCAGAGCAGGCAGAAGGACCGAGGTACACTGCTGAGGGGAGCAGCGGGCGGCAGGAGAGGTCTGCGCGCCATGTGGGACCCTCCTCTGGTGGCCGGGGAGCAGCCGGGAATTGAACCTGCACTGCAAAGGCTGAGAGCAGCTTTGCAACCCAGCACTCAACTGCTGCGCCACCGGGGAGGGAGGCCCATATGATAAATTCTTGAATAGCATTAAGAAGTGATTCAGCTTAGTTTGTGTGATTAAAAGATATCAAGAAGTCGCTATTAAAATATTTGTCTCAGCAGGCCTCCCGGTGGCGCAGTGGTTGAGCGCTGGGTTGCGAAGCTGCCTGCAGCCTCTGCAGCGCGGGTTCGATCTCCAGCTGCTCCCCGCCCACTGGAGGAGGGTCCCACATGGCGCACAGACCTCTCCTGCCGCCCGCTGCTCCCCTCAGCAGTGTACTTCGGTCCTTCTGCCTGCTCTGCTCCCCGCTCTGGCTCTGATGAATTCTCTCACCCTCCTGTGCTTCTGACTGTACCCAGTGCTTGTATAAATAAATAAATAAATCATTAAAAAAAATTTCTCTCAGCTAATAAATATTAATCAGGCACTTGTTATAGTTCATTCATTATCTCTTTGGATCATCAGATGAGATGAGGGAGATAGAGCTTTACCTCCAACTCTGAATGACAAAACTGAGACTCTTGTTGTACACAGCACTCACCCAAGGTCACACAAATAGAAATGCCAGAGTTGGGAGCTGAATCCATCTCTGCCCAACTCTAAAGAGTTACACCTCATCCCCTTTAACAAGATGGTCCAAGATTGGCATTCTTGATGTTCACAATCTATCATGTGCAACAGGAAAGGAAGTTATCAAAAAATGAAAAAATGGCATAGACAGTGGAGAAAAGGAATTTATAGGGGCTGAACTTGTGGTTTATTGCATTCATTGTAGGGAAGGTAGGTAGTAAATCTTGGCTAAGTGCAATCTGACTTATTTTGACCCTGTTGACTTTGGGTGAATTTTCACAAGAGTGGGTGTTTAATTATTCCTTGTACCCTTACTTATTATAAAACACTTGGATATGAAAACTGGATACTATGTGCTTAGGTGATCCCATGACATTACCAAGGACTGGAATTTTTTTTTTTTAAGTTCAAGTATATTTGTTATATGGTTGTTGCAATGACACCATTAAAAGAGTGACTTCAAAATAATTTCAAATAGTGTTGGTGGCTTGATGGTAAAGAGCATTTTTGGGAAAAGTATCATTGCAACACAGTGTACCTCAAAGACTCAACTGTTCTTCAAATCCTGAATTTCTATTGACCCTCTGTTCTCCTCAACAAATAGGTCTTTGAGTTGTTTTCCCTTAGTTGCACTTGAATTCTGCACCTATGAAGGAACTTGGCAGGCTAGGGTTAAAGTCAAGTCTAAATGAGTTCATTTTCCCTAATAATCAGTAGCTTTAAACGAATATAAATTCATGTCTGTGAATGTGTAATAATAGCCTCCTCCTGAGAGCTTAAATGTATGTGACAAATGCCTAAACTCAAAGGCCAGTTTTTTCTATCTTAATACCATTACGAAGTGAGAAGAGTTAGCCTGCTAATGGACATCTCATCTGCAAGCATTAATTCAGTGCTCCTCAAAGTTTCATATATGTACTATTTGTAGTGCTGTGCATGATGTTAGGTGATGTAAAAAGCAATGTATTTATTGCAATGTGTTAAAAAAAATTAGACACAAGCCAAGCTTACAATTTTATAGCTAAAATTACTATAGGAGAAAATCAAGAAACAAGACAGATTCAACTAAAATGTATTGGGAAGAATGTTAGTTATCACCAGGATAGTGCTGCAGAACAAACCATCTTCAATTTCATGGGTTTAGAACAATAATCATCAATTCTTTTGTTCATGGATATGAGGACCAAATGCATCTAGTCTAGTCCAAGAAGCATGCCAAGTTGTGAGTTGAATCCAGATCTTCTCCTTGGATCAGCTTCTCCCTAAAGCATGTTCTTTTGGGATAAAAAGATGGAGCATAAGAGGGCAACCCCCAAGTGTTTGATTCACTTCTGCTAATATCCATTGGCCACAGGAAGTTCCATGACCAAACTCAGTGTCAAGGTAACATGAAGCAGACTCTCAGAGTAAAAGACAGGGCATGAAGTTTTCTAAACAATTACTTAATCCATTGCATTAATAGTAAAATTTGAACACAGATATGGCAAATATTGTCAAGACAGTTCAAGAATGTTTGTTTTGTGTCAACACTGCTTAAAATGAATCCAAACGGGCCTGCTTTCCATAGCTATTCTGACACCTAGGCATCTGCATACGCTGAGAAATAACTTGTAGTTCTATTTGTTATATGAGGTTTATTGTCAATTAAATCTCAAAAGAAAAACTTTGAAGATCATTCAGCATCTCCCCATGTTTATGTATTTAAAGATTGAGTTAACTGCATTTTATATACATCTCAGTATCTTTTCTTTGTGATTAGACTTGCCTCATTTATTAATTTTTATGTAATGCAACTGACCTACAAGGTTACCACAATCAAGGCTTTGAGGACAGTTGTAGTTGGTAATTGAAAATGGAAATGGTACTGAATGTCCCAGATTCATTCTATTCCAGCATCTTTTATCTCCTGTTAGGTGCCTGATATGTACCTGTTTGTGTTCCAAACAGCAGCAATCAAAATGGGGGAGGGACAGGAAAACTGGAATAAATAGGCTATAAAGGCAGTTTTTGTCTTCATCAGATTCCTTTTTCTAAATGAAATGGACTCATTTCTCTGAGGCATTCAATTGCATTGCCCAGCAGGGAAGAAGCCATTTGGATAATACCAGTCCCACATGTATGTCAGACTAACAACTGTCTGTTGTTACTCTCCCTCTTTCAAATGTAGCACATATAGACATGCACATGCATGCATGCACCTGTCATACATACACACATGTCAGTTACTTTCATGTTTCCTCAAAGGGCTTGGGAGCCTATGACTTTATTTTTTGTATTATCCTTTAGGATAATACCAAATGCTCTCATCTACTGTCATATTATCAGTGTTAATTATATGTTGACATTGGCCAAATACCCAAATAATTGTGTCTAATTCACAATATTCTTTTTCAATACTGAATGCAAAAGCCTGTCAGGCATCTCCACTAAAATGACACTGCATGTGCTACAGACCTCAAATTGGAAATGACTTTTTTTTACCTTCCCCACTTCCCCAACTCTTCTTTCTCATTTTATATGTCTTTAAGTATCGACCTCCAACCATTACCCTACCATGTTCAAAATCTGGTCACCTTTGAGTCATACTTTTTTTTCCTCAGTAAAGGCTCTAATTGATCCATTGAATTCAAGACCTCTTCCATCTTTCCATACCTTCCTGTCTAGATGAGATTGTATGGTCTCTTCTTATTTGTTATGAATGCCCTGGAAAAATTATTTCTTTCTAGAAATTTTTATCGGGGTATAACTGACGTATAATCCTGTATTTGATTATAAAAGGTAATGATTTGATATTTGCATATATTAGGAAATGATCTTCATAATAATCTAGGTAACATCTGTTTCCATAAATTTTTTTCTTTCTTATGAAGACAATTTTAAGGTCTAGTTTCTTAGCAACTTTCAAATATACAATGAAGTATTATCAACTATAGTCACCATATTTCTTGAGCTATATTTCTTGATTGTCAGCTTCAATAAATCATTATGAAGACTGAACTTTCTATCTTTGATGATATCATCCTTTGAAGAAATTATAAACTGGATTTTTGTCAGCCTTGCTTCACCCTTACCAACATGCACACAAAATTTAACATACATAACACTAAATTCTCAGCTAATGAAAATCTTCTGTTTGAAAAAAAAGTATAGAAATAGTAAACATTTTGCAATTATGACCTGTATCTGTATTTCTATTTGCAAATGCCCTGGCTCTTTAAGTTGTGAAAACATAATAGAAGTTTACCTAAGAAATAAGATATTTTTGTCCTATTGACTTTTTGGAAAATATCTCACAATAAGTAAATCGATTCCCTCACTAATACATTTAGGCATTTTATTCTGCTTCAGTCACAGTTAATAGATACCACACCTTCTGAAGCTGTCCAAATAGAGCACAATCACAATGGAAATTAATTAAAGACAGGATCTCAGCAATCCAAAATGGCAGCATTTGAGATTTTCTCCTAGGGAAGCAACTAAGCAGTTCTTTTGTATTTAAACCAAAAATTCACTGCCAGAAAAAAGTTTCTCCATTTTTCAGGCTGCCTAAGCCTGAAATAGGTTTTCTTTTCTTTTTTCATTCTACAGAGGTTAAGCTCTGTAAGCACTCACACACACATAAGCAAGCAAACATACAAATTTCTCTAAATTTAAATTGTAGGTTATTCTGATTAATCCAAGTTTCCCTGCTTTCATGCTACCCGATTTCTAATTTGAGAAATTGTATATGTATGTGTGTGATTATCTCAGAAATTAAAGAGAATTTGGAATATGACAGCACTAAAGCAATATTCAAGCAATATTCAAGCAATTTAACCCACTATTTCCTCCCTTCACCTTCTCTGCAAAAGAAGTTGAATCCCAGGAGTATTTTTAAATTTAAGAGAGCAATGGAGGGTGACAGAACAATTGGCAGTCAGGCTTGTATAATTCTCTATTAATCAAGGACTATACTTTTACTCTTTCAGCTCAAGGAGAGGCCACACCTAAAGTTCCGGTGAAAAGTGAAGGTTCTGGCGACACAGAAAACTCTACAAGTCCTGACAGTAAGATTCTGAGCTATTTGAACTCACACAAAGTACAAACCTTGCATATTGTCTGTATGTAATCTAAGATTAAGGGAGCTTTCTAGTCTATAAATCAACATATTGAGTTAGAACAAGGTAAAGTTCAAAAACCATTTTCTACTAGGAACTAAGAAAATTGCTAGCCTTTAAAAAAAACCACTGACACTAGTTGTTTAAAATAGCACTGCCTCAAGTTAATCATACCTTACAATTCTAAGGTCATAGTGGATAATTCCAAGGTTAAGCTGGACTGAAGTCTAGCTGGCAAACCTTGCAGAAATATCATTCACTTACTTCTCAAAAAACACACTTGCCAACCTTCTCCCTGCTCAATTCAAGCATTCAAGGCAGCTCTGGATTGAGTTTGGGCTAAGTTTGTCCTTGGAACTTCATCACTTCACCTCATTGTGTCACATGAATGGCTTGGCCAAGAACATAGTGAGTTTTGAAGAGCACCTTTGAAATAAGTTTATAAACCTTTCCTTATTCACATCTCATTTTGAAGACATCTAAAGATTCTAAGCCTCAGGAATATAAATATATCCTTGCCCTTGCACAACAATTCTGAGAACTCTTTGAAATAGCATTGCTTATATTAGAAAAACAACTATTTGAGCACATATGATATAATAAACATTTTTTTTCCTCTGACCACAGAGCTAATGACCTTGGGAAAATTTCAGCTGCTCATGGCTTTAAATAGTTTCCTGTACCAGATATTCTGCCCTCTTATAGGCTTATTATCACCTGAATTGCCTTCCTTAATTATAAGCCATTCTGTACTTTCATTTTTACTCAAGGGAAGGGAAGGCCTTATTAAGAATAATGTTTTTAAATCCCAGGTCCTTCCATTAAAAGCTACCACATGTTATTCATGCTCATTTGTACTCATTCTGCCCACAGCCTGCTGTGACAATATAGACATTGTTCTTAACTAGTTCTTCAGCACTTCTGAAGAATCTGAGGCCCATTGATACTCAATGAATAAAAAGAAAATAAATGTACAAAACACTAAGTTTTATTCCTTAGGTGGAGAGTCACTATGCATGACACAGGTTCTCAGAAGCCTCAGCAGTAACTTATTGACCTGACTTAATGTTGCTTTTTCCAAACTTAGTTGATCATGAGATCCTTTTTTACAGAAACATTTATTACTACATTTTGGAATATGTAACACTTGGATTGGAGGAAGAAACAGAATAGGGATGCTCTCCTATATTTTATCCTTTACACCCCCCACATTGATTTGTGTGAAATTCGAACAACTGTCTAGATCAGGATGGAAAGTGCAAGCATTATTATCTTTATATAGGTAGAGTCCCAGTATAGTTTGCCAGTGGGAACAAAGCAATCTAGTTTTTAAACCCCCCTCCTTGAGATAGAGTTGGTTGGAGTGCCATTCTGACTTTCAAGCCTCTTTGAAGTGTGAGAACCAGTATCTGCACTATTTTACTTTACTCAAACTTTTGTGTTCAAGGAAAAAATAGTTGGGTTGTTGATTTTGTGCAAATAAATTATGGTTACTCATGAGAACAGAGGTTATTAATTCAGAGATTACACTAGTAAGGGTGTCAGTCATTGTCACTAGTGTTTGACCAACTCAAAATTCAGGCAAGGAAATTGGTAAATTTCATAGTTAACAGAAGATAATAATACTTCAAGCTTCCTGTGATGAGAGCTTGTTGACGTGGAGAAGCTGGACTTGGGTTAACTAAAAGTGGGTGATTTGTCTGGGAACTTAATTGTTGTTCCCTGGTGGGTCCTCCTTGGAAGCTTGGGAAAATAAGGGAAAGTTGGAAGTCACTGACCAAGACCCAGCATTCTAAACTGATTGCTACATAGGTTGTATTTTGCGAGCCTAAGCTGGTTACTGCAGAGATTTTAAGTCACTTCTATTGTTGCATATGGTCTGGCCATCATCCATTTGTATATTAATTCTTTCAACTTACAATGTGACATCAACAATAAGGCATCAACTTTGATGCCTTAAAATATCAACTAATTAAAGCTACTGACCCTTGAAAATTTCCAGAGTGATAGCTTGCTTGCTCCAGGCTACTTCCAGACAATGGAACTAATTATGTATTCTCTTTTTAATATAAATGCTCACATAGAACAATACCCTCAGTAAGATAAAAGCATACATTTTATCACTGTTGTTTGATCTAGTTAGATGTTTTGCTCTTCTATTTCATGGTGTCCAACAGGGCTGCACCCATTTGCAAATTTACAGAGTCTGTTTTGAATTTCAAAACTGAAAGATAGCAAACCAAACAAGCCTATTGACATTGTCGGGGTTTTTTTTGTTTTGTTTTTTTGTTTTTGTTTTTGAGAGAGAGTGAGAGAGCTGCTTACCTCCCTGCATATCAATAATCTGATCTGTTTTGTTTGTTTTCATTTTCTTAGACATCTTTAAAAGTCTTTGAATTTACTTAAGGATGGTAATAAATACACCCAAATGTCAACCCCAAAATCTGATATGAAATAACTCAGTTTCCACAGCTTAGTAAAGAGGTAATTCTGTCCTCTATTCCCTTACCCCACCAAAAACCTATAATACTGGTCCCCAAATATTAAGTGAATGAACATGAGCTAAAAAAAAAAATACATGGAAGATAGGAAACCAGAACAATATTGACTCACAGGTCATTTTAATGTGTTTGAGAGAACCGGGCTTAATAAATAGCTAACCATTTTTCTTTTCCTTTCTGGTTACAGTTGAAATGAATAGTCAGGTTGACAGTGTAAATGACCCAACAGAGAGTCAGCAAGAAGATTAACTAATAGGTAAGTGGCCCCTATGGTGGGTTTACAATTGATTAAACTGGCCATAGAACTGTTTGTAAATGGCATATTAGATTTCCCTGGGTTCTGCCAAGTCCCACAGCATGGCATGGGCTAAACTTTAAAACTTTTTATACCAAATAATACAGTATAAGGAGAAAGGATTACCCCTAGAATCTTACCATCTTTAAGGAACAAAGATAAGCCCCAGCATATCCAAATCATCAGTACCCTGGTTTTTGGAGCTTAGACATTAAAAATATATATATATATATATCTATTTCACTCACTGGCCTCCTGAAGTGATCAAATTATTTTAGCAGTCCCAAGCTGATTCTGAAGCATTGCTTTTCCAGAAGCTACCTATTGAGTTGTTTAAGTATATCTGTTTTTAAGCATAACACTAAACCTTTGTCCTAAAGACTATAAAGGCACTTGAGTGTGATCAGGCTGAAACAGTCTGCCTTGTTCCCTATCTTCTCACACCACCACCTGTGGACCTGAATGTCTGCAAAAAAGATTTGCTGAGTTGACTGTGCCTCAGGGAATAGCACAGAAAAATAAAAGCATGGACAGACCACATTTTGGACTTTTTTCTCACTGACATTCTAAATGTCTCAGCAGAAAATAAAACATATCTAGAATGATGATTGGTGTGTAGCCCTTTTCCATATCTTGAGAGCAGGTGAGAATTAAACAAAAGAAATCAGGCTCACTAGTCTGATTCTTGACTTAAAATACTGAAATGTGAAAAAAAAAAAAAAACACCTGTGGATTGAGCTGTGGGTCAAGCATGTAAGACACAAGTGTGTTGATATTGATGCTGCTGCCTCCCAGCACACCCATGTCCCTGCATCTTCTTCTTCTCTCCCAGGAGGCCGTGTTGCGTACTCTTCAGCTCCTGCATCACAGCAGATTAAAGCCTGATAATGTGTTAAAGTATGAATCTGGTCTTCCCAGTAATGGTTTTGAACATCATATAAAACTAAATACAATAGTATTTGTGTAATACATGAATATCATAATGCTTCAAAAAATATAAACCCATGGAAACATAGTTTTATAAACTTTTCTTTTTTACTTAAACTTGTTCACATATTTAAAATGATCCTGCTAAGCTGCAGAAAGGATACAGAGAAGTTTACAATAGAAAGTAATGAAGAGACTAAATCTGAACAATTTAAATGCAAGTTGCTCACTGTTATCTTACCTTTTGCTCTTTTGTTGACTGTAGGACTATAGAGTTTTGATCTAAATTTCTTCTTATAGATATTATTTTCCTTGTATGATCAATATCCATAGAAAGTACCAGAACAAATCTGTTTTCCTTTCTTAATGTCAAATTACTTTTGACAAATCTGTTACCCAAATAAAAATCAAAACTTGAAGTTCAAAATTAAAGACACTCAATTCCAAGGAAGAAGTAACTTACACAGGGTCACTTGATTCATCAATTGTAATGCAAATACTCCAAGTATAAAATTCTTTGCTGACACCCTAAACTGATCCCTAAACAATAGTGTTTTTCTAAACATAGTAGATACAGCAGAGAACAGTATGGTCCAAGAAATGTCAGTGATTCCAACAGAAATATTTATACAGCTTCATTTGCACAGATTATCTGGTAGTTCCATGCACATATCTTCAAGGAAATTAAATACAGTGAAATGGAATTGGAATTACAGAGTAGAAAGGCAAAACACAAGAAAGTTTATTGTTGAAAGTCTGGTAAGATGGCAGTAGAATGAAGACAAGCCGGTTTATCTCCCAACATATATAAATAAATTGCACCTAAATGAAGACAACAGCCCCTGAATGACAAAGAGATGACTATTGTATGAATGAAAAGCAATGGCCAGATGGAAAGTGGTAGGGAAAACCATAATTAAATCGTGTTTGAGTTGATAGTGGGGCAGTACATCTCATGATAGGGAATGCATCTGTCATATGGAACCTCTCTGCTATTGTTAACTCAGGGGTGCACATCCACATTGGAGCCTTTATAACCCAAGGACTATACTAGAGAGAGGGGTGCATCTAGCCAGAGGGTGCACCGCTTGACAACTGTAGGAGTAGGGGTGTAACTGGTAATTGTCAATTTGAATGTGTGGCTCCCAAATGAGAGTAGAGAGAACCAGATAAGATCATGTATCTCCCTATAGAAGAGGCTATTATTTTCAACTATGACTGTGATATATGAAATATCTTCCTTATTCCTGCCCAGAGGGGCCAAGGTCAAGATTTAAAGAAAATTCTGTTATTAACTAGAGTTTGCAGCACCTACATATTAACAGCAAGAAGAGAGCACCCCACTGATAAAGCTTCATACATAAAAGGCAAAGAGAACAATTCCTGGCTTATAATCCTTTCTCAGTTATCATCCCTATACAGCAGTAAATATGTTGTACAACTAGTTTACAGATTTAGACTGGTGTGAAGTTGGTTGAGACATTTTATCTGAGTAGTTGGCCTAGAGGAGAGGGTCACGGTGGATCCCCACAACACAACTCAGATACTCACAGCTTTATAGGACATTTGAAAATGTGCTGCCTAGTGGGGCTGAGCTTCAGTGCATACTTGCTATGCCTTGTTTGCACCAGTGCCCCAGTCCTCTGGCATTGGTCTATGATGTAACAGACACCTAAAACTCTGAAGAAAAACCCTATGATCATATCTAGCTACTTATAGGAAGGGTATAAAGTCAGTTTATCAAGTCAAGAAAAGGAAGTTCCCTATCACAGTTCAAAAAAATCTAAAAATGAAGAGAAAGAACATACTACAAATGCTGAACAGCAGCAGCAGCAACAGCAAAAAAAAAACCTCAAGAGGAGTCTAATGGTTTCCATTAGAAACAAAGGATGACTAAAGCAAGGTGGCAGGTTATAAAATTAATACACAAAATTCTGTTGCACTTTTAAGTGCAAACAGTGAATGGAAAGAAATTAATAATTCCATTGCAAATGCATCCAGAAAACCAATACCTATATAGGAAGTGTTCAACATCTGTTAACAACACTGTTAACAAGAGATACAGATCAAAACCACAGGTACCATCTCTCACCTGTAAGAAGACACATATCAAATAAACCCCCAAGGGGAAGTTGTGAAGAGGATGCAGAGAAACTATAATATGTTGTTGGGGGGAATGTAAAGAGGTGCAGGAAATGATCTGGTATTGCCTTAAAAAAGTAAAATTGAAATACTGTATGACCCTGAAATCCCACTTTTGAACATCTTTCCCAGAATATGAAAACATCAACTCAAAAACTTATATGCACTACAATGTTTATTGCAGCATTATTTACAATAGCTGGGACATGAAAACAACCCACATGCCCACAGATGGAGCACTGGATTAACAATAAATGGTATACATTGAGATACCACCTTACACCAGTAAGAATGGCACATATCAAAAAAACTAGCAACAACAAATCCTGGTGAGGATGTGGTGAAAAAGGAACTCTCCCACATTGCTGGTGGGAGTGAAAACTGGTCCAACCACTATGGAAAGCTGTCTGGAGGTCCTTCAGTCTACTAAAAATGGAGCTACCATATGACCTAGCAATTCCATTCCTAGGGATCTACCCAAAGGACATAATAACATTGATTCAAAAGAACACCTGTACCCCTATGTTTATTGCAGCACTATTTACAATAGGTAAAATCTGGAAACAACCCAAATGCCAAAAAATAGATGACTAAATCAAGAAGATGTGGTATATATACATAAAAGAATATTACTCAGCAATCAAAAAAGATAAACTCATGCCAGCACAGCAGCGTGGATGGAGCTAGAAGGAATTATGCTCAGTAAAATAAGCCAGAAGGAAAAAGAAAAATATCAGATGGCTTCTCTTATAGCAGGAATATATGAGAACCAAATAAGACATCAGTGTAAAAAAATAACAGTACAAAGCACATCAAAGCAAAAACAGACAATTTTGAATTAGAGACATACTGCAGGGGAGGAGGAGGGAGAGGGATCAGAGAGAGGGAGGGAGGAGCACAGGGGACTGAGGTGATGGTGCACGGGTGCACTGTGGAAGGAAATTCCATGGGGACTACACCTGAGGAGGTCGGGTAAGCAAATACTGTTTTAAAATGAACAACTATGTAAAAAAAATGTGGTATAAACCAAGCAATGAAATAGTATTCAGCCACAAGCAAGGATAAATGTTACCATTTACAGCAAAATAGAAGGAGCTTGAGGGAATTTTGTGGAGTAGAGTCAGAATGATAAAAATATTAGGCATTTACATAACAGATGATTTGACAAAACAAAATACTTGTTAAAAACTAGTAGACACAAAGTGGGGTTTCTGAGATTAAGTGAAAGGGGGAGAGAGGAAGAGTCAAACAGGCATAAGGGATAGTAGTAGGGGAAAAATTTTATTTTTTTTTTAAGATTTATTTATTTATTTATTTATACAAGCACTGGGTACAGTCAGAAGTGCGGGAGGGTGAGAGAATTCACCAGAGCCAGAGGGGAGAGCAGAACAGGCAGACTGACGAAGTACACTGCTGAGGGGAGCAGGGGTTGGCAGGAGAGGTCTGCATGCCATGTGGGACCCTGACCTGGCAGCCGGGGATAGAACTGGCACTGCAGAGGCTGGGGGCAGCTTCGCAACCCAGTGCTCAGCCATTGCACCACTGGGGAGGCCCAATAGGGGAAAAATTATTTTTAAAAAATCAACTGATATTCTGATAGCCTGTTATAGTTAAAGCCATGCATGGGAGCTTTTAATCAACTATTTTAAAAAGAGTAGTGTTGTGTAATTTATAATTGTGAAAAATCAGAATAGCATAAATGATAAGAGGGGAATTATTTAATGAATTACAGTAGAGCATTCTGAATACATAAAGATACTTTTTCAACAAGTACTTGAGAACATGGAAATATCAATGTGGAATCAGAAGTTTTGATTCTAGAGAAACATGGCAGGTTCGGTGTGGCTTCTAGATTGGGCTTTATGAGTCTTGTAACTTCAGTTTTTGCAATCCTAGAATTGTAAGAATCCAACTACCTTTTGATATGCTCAGGATATACTATAGAATTAGGGGGAATGGGGGACATGGAGAGAATCTTGGAATCAGAAAAGTCACTTTGGATTTTCTCGTCCCAGTGGATACCACCTGGAGCAGATGAACTGCCTAGCTAGTTATAGAATCATGAGAAATGATAAATCATTTTCTAGCCACTAAGCTTGGAGGTGATTTATTGTGCAGCATTAGGTGACTGAAATAGTGGGATTGTGCAGAACCCCTCCAAATGTAACTACTTAAAAAATAAGAGGTAACTAAAATATTTTAATATATGTAGCTCAGCTGACAAGAAAGCAAAGGTGACAGAAATGAAGAGAAATTTGAAAGCCAAAGCAACTGTCTGGTTAACAGAAGAAGCAACAGCCCTCAGGAACTACAAATTGGTTGTTGCTTCAAAGACAGACCCTACAACTATGGACATGGACTCAAATGTTCACCTATAACTTTGAACCACTCAACACAAGGAGTTGGAAATGATACTTCTACATATGTAAGTCTGGAACTACTAGCTCAAGAAATTACAAGGACACTTGTCTTCTCAGAGTACTACATAGGGGAATAAAAAAACTTTCTGTGATAAAGACAAACCAATGCACCATGGGTTTGAAACAGAAATTTGCCATCCAAAGTCATACCATAATGCAGAGCAGAGAAATTAATCTAATAATTGTAGAGCAATGTTATCCCCAATGTAGATGGAAATTGAAAATGTGAAACTATCATTTCAATTTCCTACAGAAGAAAAAAAGAATTCTGAAGATAAGTTTATGATTGTAAGACTTACAAAACACAAATGGTAATGTTCCAACATTAATGAGAAAATTAATAAAATCACAAGACAATTTTTGCTATGAGAAATTGAGAGTATGAAATTTTAAAGATTTTATAAATGTAAGTTTATTTGACAAAAAAGGATTAAAAGCAGATATAAAACTGGAAGAAATGAGCAATACTATGAAAAATTCATAATAAGGAAAAAGCAAATAAAAATATATTAATATAAAAGTCATGAGAAACAAAGGACAGAAGAATAACCAAGGTATTTGTGTTCAATAGGAGTGCTAAAAGGTGATAGTAGATGGTATGTGAAAGAGAATTACTGAAAATTTATCAGAAAAGAAGTTACGAATTTTCAGTGAAAAGAAGAATAAGAAGTCATAAAAAGGACTCATATTTAAAATAAATCTACACTTAGGCATTATAGGATACCAAACACAAGGAGAAAAGAATTCATTCAAAGCAATTAGAAAGAAGAGTTACCCTATAAAGAAGCAAATATTTTATGAGCAGTGGGCTTCTCAACTGAAAAACTTAGGTCAGAAGACAATAGTCCTCAAAATGTGGCTAAAAATAATTGTCAATGTTGACATACCACCTTACACCTGTAAGAATGGCACAAATCAATAAAACTAGCAACAACAAATGCTGGTGAGGATGTGGTAAAAAGGAACTCTCCTACATTGCTGGTGGGAGGGCAAACTGGTCCAACCACTATGGAAAGCTGTCTGGAGGTTCCTCAGTTTACTAAAAATGGAGCTACCATATGACCTGGTGATTCCATTCCTAGGGATCTACCCAAAGGACACAATAACATTGATTCAAAAGAACACCTGTACCCCTATGTTTACTGCAGCACTATTTATAATAGGCAAAACCTAGAAACAACCCAAATGCCAAAAAATAGACAACTGGATCAAGAAGATGTGGTATAATATACACGATGGTATATTATTCAGCAATCAAAAAGGATAAACTCATGCCATTCACAGCAACGTGGATGGAGCTAGAAGGAATTATGCTCAGCGAATAAGTCAGAAGGAAAAAGAAAAAATATTGGATGGTTTCTCTTATAGCAGGAATATAGGAGAACCAAATAAGACATCAGTGTAAAAAAATAACAGTACAAAACACAACAAAGCAAAAAGACAATTATAGGGCCTCCCCGGTGGCGCAGCGGTTGAGCACTGGGTTGCGAAGCTGCCTGCAGCCTATGCAGCACCGGTTCAATCCCCGGCCACAGGGCGAGGGTCCCACATGGCGCGTAGACCTCTCCTGCCGCCCACTGCTCCCCTCAGCAGTGTACTTCGGTCCTTCTGCCTGTTCTGCTCCCTACTCTGGCTCTGGCGAATTCTCTCACCCTCCTGAGCTTCTGACTGTACCCAGTGCTTGTATAAATAAATAAATAAATAAATCTTTAAAATAAATAAATAAATAAATAAAAACATATAATTCCATTTTTTAAAAAAAAAAAAAGACAATTATAAATCAGAGACATACTGCAAGGCGGGAGAGGGATCAGAGGGATGGAGGGAGGAGCACATGGGACTGTGGTGATGGTGCACAGGTGCATTGGTGAAGGAAACTCTATGGGGACTACACCTGAGTGGGTGGGGGGAAGCAAATATTGTTCAAAAATCAACAATGATGTAAAAAATTAAAAAAAATAAATGTAAAGTTCTGTGCTAGTTTCTCTATTATGCTTCATGTAAAAGGAAAACTGAACCCAGAAGAAACTGGGGCTTGGGAAACAATTATAACCCAAGAAATATGGTAAACACATAGGCAAATCACAATTTATTTTTCAGTGTAAGTTTGTAATAATAACTGGTAGGTGGTTCAAAGCAGAATAAAACAAAAGTATTATTTATACATATTTTATCAAATCAAAGTAATACTAAATACTTGTCAGAATGTGTGCATGTTTGTAAATATGTTTATAAAAGTCTAAAAAACATACAAGTTGTTGATTCACACTTTTATAAGGATTTTGCAATCTCTGAGGAGGAAGAGAATACTTCTAATTTACCTATAATTTAATTTACCCATAAATAGAAAAAAATATCGATAAGCAAGTACAATAAAGAAAAGAGAACATTTGAAAAATATTAACACCTTATTTCTTAATAGTGGATATTTCCTAGACATGTTATACTGTTGTCTATAATATTCTTAATTTTTGCATTTTTCATTATTAAAGTTATATGATTGTGCATATATGTAGGAAAAATATAGAAAAATATTATAAGGAAATACTCCATAATATTAGCTACAGAGGTTATTGTCAATAGTGGAATCGTTCAGAATTCTTTTGTCTGTGTCTGCATTTCAGAGATCACCTACTCTTATTCTCCTTATAGAAATGCAGTAATTTATAGTGATAATAACCTAATCAATTGTTGATTCCAGCAAGAGTCGGGTTAATAATTGTAAGGGAAACTGTAGGGTGTTGGGGGTGTTTTAAATCTTGAGAGTGGTGTGGGTAAAACATATGTATTTTTCAAAACAGATTGAGGTGCGCTTAAAATGTACATTTCCATATATGTAGAATACACCTCATTATTTTTAATAAAAAGTAAGGTACACTATCTCCTTTGAGGTCTTCTCACATGTGGGAAACATAGCAAACAATGTGTGAGATCTCAAAGCAGTGAGACCACCATCAATGATATTTGCAAACTGGCATTATATCAATTATTATTTTTTCTATGTTGAATTCTAGAAGCCAGAGTATCTGAACAAGCCTCACAAGAACATGGATTCAATACAAGATTAGGTTTTTCTAAAACTACTTAAGAGTTGAGTTAATTGTGCCCAAGAGTAGAAGCAAATTTTCAAAGTGACATACATTTATTAGAAGGGATTTATCTGCTGTTTAAAGATACTCCATGCCAGCAATTACAGCTTAAATATTCCAAGTTCTTTGATAGTCAAATAATATATTCCTAGGCCTGTTTAAGTTGTGAGAAACATTTAAATGGCTACATCAAAAAAAGATAGTCTTTGCTAAGCCTATGAAAACATCTTATCTTTAATCTAACAAATGGTTTCTCCTTATCTTCAGCAGGGGCACAAAATGAAGCAAAGGAACAAAGAAATGGAAGTAAATGCCAGTCCTCAGCATGGCAGGCCTCCCCTGGCCCCAGGGGAGTTGGGGAGACTGCAGCACTGCTGTGGAGGAGGGGGGGGTGGGGGGAAGAAGCCAAGTCCCACAGAAGGGCAGGGAATCCTTTGCTCTGATTTCTCCCACTGCATTTTGTTTTTTTTTATCTGAAGAAAAAGAAAGAAAAAGAAGTTTCCTTTAATTTGGTGGAGGTACCCATGTTAATGCATCTTTCAGGCACTATCCCTGTAATTTTTGTCTTTTCTCTCACAATTTTGCTGCAGGGTCACAGTGGCACAGTTTACCACTCACTTGTGCATCCTGGTCCCTGTCTGCTTTCTCATTTATTTCACAGAGCAGGTTCTACAGTGATTTCTTCAAAAAAAGAAAAAAAAAAAAAGAGAGAAGGAAGATAATTGTTGATAAGCTGTAGGCTAAATTTCAGGAATCACCTAACCCGTACAATCCACAGACAACATAAGCAGCATAGAAAATTGGCACAAGCTTGAGAAATCATCTGGAAAATGTCAGGACAAGGAATTGAAAATATTTTTTCAGGGATTTCCAAGGTATAATTTTGTTCCATGTTAGTGAGGAATACAGAAGCAGGGTATGGATTGGACTATGAAGCTGGCCCTGGCAGCCATGTGGTCTCTTTCCTCAAACCCAGCTGACAGGTGTGGTCTTTGACATTGACTTTCAGCAGAGCTTACTTAGTTCTGGGATTGTTACTATGTGTGTCAGCATGGAGCCCACCCATAAGGTGTCACTCTGGGACAACACTCTTAAAGGGTGGTACTTCTCTAGTTATTCAAGGTAACAAGGGGCTGATACATTTAGGATCCAAGCATATGCCTATGACTATTAAAGGTTCCATTTGAAATCCTGCCCACCCCCCATAAAAGAACACCTGTCTTTACCCAAGGTTTGATCACCCACAGAACAGATTCTCATTTGAATTTTAATGTAATTAGATGTCTTATTTGCAGCTCTGGCTTCCTTGTCTGCTTTTAAATGGCAGTTTGCTCATGCCAAGGCCCAAGACTTATTTAATGGTTACTTCCCTCTCCCAGAAAACCCATTGATTATGGCCTTGAAGGCAACGGCAGTAATAATAACCCATGATGCTCCAGGCACAGTGGGCCAGGAGGAAGTCAGACAGTGGCACAAATGGCTATCCCAGAGCCCACAGGAACAGCAACCCTCACAAGGCAAGATGCCTCTTCCCAGTGTATCCTTGGGTTGAGTCTTATTTTTTCTGTGGAAAATGATATTCTTTTTTAGTTGTATTCCTAATTCCACATTCCTTATGAAGACTTTAGAATTCTAAGTTATGTATATATATATATTTTCTTAGTAGAGGGAGAAAAGCAATGAATCAAATTGTGTATTTCTAAAATAAAAGGACATTCCACTGTCAAAATCATCCATAAAATTCATCAGGTTTGCCCTTTCCTCTATGGAAAATTTATCTCCTTATCTTCCTGTAAATTTGTTTTGGCCTTTCTAATGTGTTGCTTCTCTGGTTGACTTATTTGGTGTATTGGAATAATTACCAACTTATCTTTCTGCTTATGTAGTATGTTTTAAAATTTCATCTTTTAAGTATCTCATTAAACCTAGGAGTAGCAATATTTAAATGACCTCATGGTTTTGGGACACGGCCATTTCTCCTACCATTATTCTACAGTTTGATATGGTGACATATATATTCTCTGCTGTCATTAGACCTTGCTTTCTAAAAAAAAAAAAAAAAAAAAAAAAAAAAACAAGGAAAAGGCTCATTGTAAATACTCCAAGAAATGATGCGTTATGAATACTATTATATCTTATGTCATCTTTATGACTTAATTGAAAGTCACCATCATTCTTGACAAGTGCTATCTGCCAGGAGCACATTTTCCTGCAACTCCCAATGCTAATGCAACTCATGCCCTGTGAGGAGATGCAGTAGGAAAGCAACATAAGGAAGGCGAGGGATGCAGGACCAAGGTGAAAGAGCCTTAACGTGCTTGCTTGTCAGGATTGAAGTGTTTTCAATCCTCATGCTCTCAGCATGGTTCAATAGTCATTCTGTTCATTCATTTTAAATGTGGTTGGGGACCTCCCTGGTGGCGCAAGGGTTAAGATGCAACCTGTGAAGCTATCTGCAGCCACTACAGCACAAGTTCAATTCCCGGCCAGCCAGGGAGCAACCCACATGGCGCAGCAGACCGCTCCTGTCTCGCCCCGCTGCTCACCTCAACAGTGTATTTCAGTCAATCCACCTGTTCTGTTCCCCACTGTTTCTGGTGAACCTTCTCACCCCCATACCTCTGGCCTGTACCCCAGCTCTTGTATGCATGAATAAATCTTTAAATATGGTTGGGGCAGAAATGGGAGGAGTGAATTCTCTGCCCCCAACCAAAGGAAAGGGCAAGTAAAGTTTTATATCCAGGAAAGTAAGTACATGAGTAGCATTTAGCATCAGCCCCATTCCTGAATTTGTTTAGACTTCATTTTATGTTTCAATTATATTTTCCTTTTTGCTTCATTATGCATTTTGGTTGCTATTTGGCTATAAGATTTTATGCTACAGGGCCTCCCTGTTGGCACAGGGGTTAAAAACATAGCACTATCAAGTTATTGCCAGCCACTGCAGCACGAGTTCAATCCCTACCAGGCCAGGGAGGTGATCCACATGGCACAGACAACCTCTCCTGTCTCGCCTGCTGCTCCCCTCAGCAGTGTTTTTCAGTCAATCTGCCTGTTCTGCTCCCCACTCCATCTCTGGTAAATCCTCTCACCCCCCGCATCTCTGGCCTACACCCTAGTTCGTGTATGCATAAATAAATCTTTTTTAAAAAAAAAGATTTTATGCTACAAAAAATAATTTTGTTAATTTTCATTTCAAGAGTAAACTATTAAAAAATCTAGCTGTGGGCCAGATGGAAGATCTCAGCACAGGAAACGTTTATTTCACTGGTACTGTCATTGCACAGACTGTACAATGGAAAATTTGAAAAGCTTATTGATTCTCCTGCATGTGAATTCTGGATGTCAATTTCCAACCACACTTTAAGTCAGCGATGTGGCATGAGAGGTTACAAGAGGGAGAGAGGAAACTCACCCTGAATTAGTCATGTTTGCATATAGAGAATCGAAGAAGGCTTTCAACATAATAGCTCTAACTAAAAAGGTACTTGTTGTAGGAGACACAAAGGGGCTTTTCCTCTACTTGATAACTATTCAGATGATGGACAAGTCTTCTTTCATAAAAACTTACAAAGGAGGCATCCGAAACACTGTCTGTGATACTGGGTCACATATTAGTCACTGCAGCTAATTGTAAATCTTTCTATGAAACACTGAAAGCCTCTTTGTGAATTAATACAGTTCTGCTTGATGCACTTGATTTGAAATGACATTTCTCTGTATGTGGTGCATGTCGGCTTTGCTTTGAAAAATAACAAAGTTAGCAGAATATGTTCAATATATTTTCTTGGGGAATAGGGTTTTTATCATATGATTCATTAAGGATTTGCCTTACCCTGACATTTGTGATATAAAGGAAAAGCAGAAAAAAGTAATTTTCTTGACCAGATATGTTTTTACTTAATGCAAATAAATGTAGTCTGTTGCTTGCAAGGGAAAAAATGTCTTCTGATAACTGGTATAAACTGCTAAATAGAATAATACGTGCCTCTTTTGTTAAACCGGCATTTAAATGCTGGATTGCTTCTAAATCTGTTTGTTTCTTTTCATCTGTGCCATACACTACGAAACTTATACAACTGTTGCCTTCATACTATATTTGTTAGAGCAGAATACAAATAAAAACTGTTTGAGAGGATAAACTGGAATTATCTGTGTTTTATGAAATTTGTTCTTGGCTATCAATAACTCAAAATGTTCATTTAACTATATATTTAGTTCTGAAATTCCATGTTCAAAATTGTCCCTGCAAGTCAACTTTACCTTATCAATATTCTTCCCTTACTAAGACTGGTTTATGTTTTGAATATGTTTTACAAAATTCAACTAAAGAGTAGTCTGTGCAGCTATAAATCCCAATGAATAATTTTTATTTGAATACAGATAACTGATTAATTTAGCAAGAGCCTCTCAGGTGCAGCATTCAAGTTGTTGAGATAAAAAGCCTGTGTTTCAATGAACAATGGTGTATCCTTTGGATCCCACCATCCATTTCTGAGTACCTTTCATGAACCAATCACTGTATTGGCTACGTGGCCACAGCAGCCGTGGTCCCCCTCAGTCTATTGTTGATGGAATTATGACTGAATTACACAATTGTTAGAGTTTGGCCATGGATTAACAAAACTCACAATGGGAAAACTCAGTGAGTGTTCTTTGGAAAATGGGAATTTGTACTCCATCAAATTTCATTCCCTCCAGCTTCTACAAAAGAGATGCTATCAGGTTTATTGTACTAGGAGACAATAAAGGAAGACAATCCCTTTATCAAATGAAGCCAATACTTAATAATTAAATGAGAATAAGGTTTTTAAAACTATTGTGCTAGAGGAGCATTTTTCCAGTAAATAAGGTTAGATAAGAAAAAATTGTAGACCGGATAGCCTTATGCTGCAATGGGCAACCTCAACACAAATGCTTCAGAGTGACAGTAAAGATAATGTGGTGTGATTCTAGCATTGCCAGATGCAGGTTTTCATCTACATCCAATTTCTCATCTCTAGCTGTCAATCTTATGTTTTTACTCCAACGCTTCTGCCCCTTCAACCAAAGATGTCATTAAATGTTATTTAACTCTACTAGTGATTCTCAGGTCTAAAAGGAATAATGACACCAATTTAAGTAGCTCTTGTCAGAATTCTAGCCTACTTCTAGGACTTTGAGAAATAAAGTGCCCCCATTGGTTTGGAAGATGAAAATACTTGAACATTTCTGAAATTTCTAACAAACTTAAATATAAATGAAGTCCCAAGATAGTATACCTTGTCATTCACGCTGGTAAATTATTAGCAATGGATTCTGTTTCTTGATATTGTAGTCAAATGACCCTTCCTTGAGCTCAAGACTTTTCACCAAAGAAATAAATGATCCTAGGGGCCTCCCCGGTGGCGCAGCAGTTGAGCACTGGGCTGCAAAGCTGCCCGCAGCCTCTGCAATGCCGGTTCGATCCCCGGCCACCAGCGAGGGTCCCACATGGCGCGCAGACCTCTCCTGCAGCACCTGCTGCTCCCCTCAGCATTGTATTTCATCAGTCTGTCTGTTCTGCTCCCCACTCTGACTCTGGTGAATTCTCTCACCCTCCCACTCTTCTGACTGTACCCAGTGCTTGTATAAATAAATAAATCTTAAAAAAGAAATAAATGATCCTTATAATTGCATAGATGAGATCCTTTTCTACTGAAGTAGATTCATACTTTGTCCCTAAATTAAGGACCCATGAAAATAAAAGGAATTATTTTAGTATAATTTGAGGAAATGGACAATTTCACTTATGAAAACATGTATGCACAAATTACTAAGTATAAATCTTAAGTAAATATTTTTCTGATAATAACAAATCTATGAAAAGAGGTGTAACCCTCTCTGATACTTAGTTAACATGTCTGGAAGTATATAGATTTACAAAGAGATAATAATACACTTTCCTTTCTGGGGGAGTAGTATACATCCTTTCTCCTCTGAATTGGAGATGACCATGTAACTTGCTTTGGACAGTGCTATATGGACAGAAATGGTGTATGTCACTTCAAAGAGAAGCTTGAAAACTAATGCTGTTTTTTTTCCCCCTCTACCATAATGAGAAGAACATTCTAGACAGGCTGCTCAGCATAGTTTTTTGCAGTGAAGATCTTGAGTTTCAGCCTTATTGATTCTTTTTCAAGTCTTACTGAGGTGACATGAGTGAGAAATAAACCCGTTTCGATATTTGCTTGCTTTTTGTTACTCTGGTATGACTTTGTCTTCACCAGTACATATGCCATTGAAACATTTAAATAAAAAGTCCAAGGGCTTCCCTGGGGCCTAGGGGTTAAGTCTCAGTGCGATCACTGCAATGGCTTGAGTTCTATCTGCTCCCCACTCTGTCTCTGGTGAATCTTCTCACCCCTCCACACCTCTGGCCTGCACTTCAGTTCTTCTATGCAAAAATAAAGTCCAAGATTATCTAGATGATCAACTTCTTCAATTGCATCTGAGGGGCTCACAGTCTTGCTAGCATGCTGGTATTCTGTCCTCTCCCAGAATTTACCCAACTGAAGCTTTTTTTTCTCAGCTGATACGTTGTCATCCTTGAGTTATCAACTGTAATGTCACCTCCTGGAGAGGTCATCTGAATGACCTTATTTGAAAGTAGATTCTCTCAACTTGTCTTGCCAATCTAGCTCCTATTTGTTACTTAAGAACATATACAGTAATTTTTCATTACTTATGTGCTCATGGCAGGGACAAAAATTCTTGTCATAACTCAGATGTGCAAAATAAAGTAGTTCCCTACCCTCTACCCTACCTCCCAATAACTGAACTTGCCTTCTTTCCAAGACTCTAGGAACTGATTAGAGGGGGTCATGGGGAAAGAATTTTAATTTTTCAATTTTGGAGAAAAAGGTTATTATTAAAGTTTTAAATTCAGCACTGAGGCTATTTCTTGGCACAAAAACGCACCCTCCTTGTTTTCTAATCATAGTGTAATAAGATTAACAATTCAAAATAGATTTTAATAAGACAATATTTATTATAACATTTTAAAAGCTATTTCTAAATATTTTATTAAGGAGGATATCAAAAATGAATGTCATATTTAGAAAAATGACAAAATAAGGGCACTCCTTATAAAACATGGGATAAAGTCAAAGGTGTGCTTATAGAAAAATTCAATCTAAAATGTTCTAATTGCTTATAATAAAAAAGAAAGAAAACAATTTTAAAAGCATTCAAATTTAGATTTTTTTTAAAAGTCCAAAGAAAACTAGAAAAAGTATGCACAACATATATGTGATATATTTGTGCATATGTAAATACAAATGTATACATACACATGTAGTGTATGTATTATATATTTTATATATAATGAACTGAAAAAAATTTGAAAAGCAGTAAATGTAAAATACATCTTTTGGTTCTTTGAAAATTCATTAAAATAATTAAATCTTCAACAATTATCATCAATAATTTTAAAATAGCAACAGAAATTTTAATTAAATGTTAGTGAAATTTTATGCCTAACAACATAATAAAAAAAGGTGAATTTTTCTTTAAGTAAAAAGTTTCCAAAACCATTACAAGAACTAGATAACTAACATAGAACAAATTCCTGGCAGAAATGAGGAAAGCTACCAAAAATGTCTCCCAAACTATGTCTGTCTATCCACTGATCAAAATAATACTTAAAATTTGTCAAAAACCTAGGAACGATCACAGGTAGTAGTCTTCATTTGTTTTCATTTCACAGCATTTTCATAGCTAAATCATATGGAACATTATTTGTGTGCATGACTTTTTCACTTAGTAGTATCACAAGCATTTTTTGTCAGTTGAAGATTTTCTGAAGTCATTTAAAAATACATTTCATCATATAGCTCAAGTTTATATTATCACTTCCCTATCCTCTGAGACTTAGTTTAGTTGAAGATTTTCTTAAACTACAATGAATTCTTTCTGTCATAATTTTTTGTCTTCTTCAGGGAATATTTCCAAAAGAGAACAGCCAGGACTCATGAACTCTTGCTGCTTGTCACCACAGTAATTTGCAAAGCCCTATTGCTAGCAATTATAGTTGCTAGCAATTATAGTTGCTAGCAATAGAATAGAAAATGAGAATTTCCATTTTGTATAACCCTTACTAATCATGAGGGTCCTAGAGATATTAACACTACAAGGTGTCAGTGCAAGAACAGGTTTTAACTAGTCCTTCATTTACTAATGAAATTGGATAGATTTCTGTCAGCTATTTGTATTTCCTGACTGGAGGATTAATCTGTTCATACTCTTGAGTTATCTGTCAATTGGGACTCTACTTCTTTTATTGACATTTATGAACTGTTTATATAGTAAGACTATTTTCATCCCATTTCTTGCATGCAATTTTTGTGCTTTGTTTTAGACAATTTAGTGTGGTATTTTTCAGTGTACACACTTCTTTTTATGTTTCTATGCAATCAAATCTCTCTCTTTACACAGACTTTTATTGCTAGTAAAGTTGACATTTATAATTTTGGCCTGAGGGGCATTCATTTCTGCTTCCTCAGGAATTCCTACTTCCTCTCAGAATAATAAAAAAAAAACTTTTACATGTTTTCTAGAGCTGACCTTCCAACCCTACTCTGTAGAGGGAAGAGAGACAGAGTCCAGCCTGGTTAGACAATTTTCTAGCCCTGTTCTCAGTGATTCATTTAGAAAAGTAATGTGACCCAAAATGGACCCATCTGTGTCCTCCCTGGGACTTGGTACATGGTGACCAGGAGAGTAAAAGTCAAGTCACAGTGAGCGTGGAAACCTGGAGATTTGGGCAGTTTTTCTTCTGACTCAGTTAAGTCAATAATTCCCTTTCTAAGTAACCTTTGGATTCCTGGTCCTTATAAATGAATAATCTGAGGGAACTAGAGAGCCAAAGAATAAAATTCTTCAACTATCCAGAGAGCCCCATATGATACTGATACACACACACACAAACACACACACACACACACGTTTCCTCTGCACATTTATCTCTTTTCTATTCTCCTCTATGGACTTCATTGCTCCAGTCACACTGGATTCCTCAAATACGACAGGTATGTCTCTTACAGCTTTAAACGAGCCCCTCCAGAATTATCTACTTCTGAATGTACATATGGTTATTTTTCTTACCCCCTTGGTGTCTGTTCAAAGCTTTTTCAGTGACACTTATCATAATCATCCTTTAGGCT